TCGAGATGCGGGAGCTTCTAGGAGTAAGGGACTTGGAATCTCATCCAGATTAAGGGGGAGAATGTGAGTTGTTAATCAGTCCGGATTGGTAGTTTGAATCCTAGTTAGTAGATAGAATTCTAGTTAGAATAGAATACTAGTTAGTAGATAGTTCTCTAGTTATTGGATTATATATATGTAAACAAGTCATTGTGTTTTAAAAAAAACGAAAATAAGAAGAGTAAAAAACTCCTCCACCGAATCCTCTCTTTCTCTCTGTTTTTTCGGCCACATATCAAAGTAGCCTCTGTCTTTTCCTGCAGCAACACCTTCTTCAACAAATTCGGCAATCTCTCTTGTGCTTGCAGGCTAAAACTTAGGCCGATCCTATTTCAAAAGCCAACAAGCACAAGCATAACCTAAGATTTCCTTCCTCTATGTAACTTGTATCGTAGGCCCTTCAAAACTAATTAGTTGCATAACTTAGAATCTTTTATATATTTTTATATTTTAAGGTAGGTATCAAGTTGACAGAAGAAAAAACTAGATGTAAAAATTAAAAATTATACCGCTTGCTTCTTTAAAGATGTGAAGCTTTCATCCTCCAAAGCCATGAAGCTCTCTACATAGGAGCTGACCCCGAAGAAGCTGCTCTCCCCACTACTAAAGATCGTCGCTTCGACTCGTTCTTCCGCTGGGTTGTAGACCTGCAGCTTGCCGTCGCACCTCTCCAACAGTGCTCTTCCGTCCTTCTCCACGTCGACGACGCGAAACTGATGAGGATAGCAGCAGCGGTAGTCGATGTTGTACGCCTTCACCCACGACGCGCAGCTGCTGTCATGGCCCTCCTCCAGCAGCCACAGATCGACCCTCGATCGCTCCGAGCACTCCATGCACAGCGATCCGCCCAGCCGCCTCAGGCGAAAGTTCCATGCCTCGTCGCGATTGTCCCCTGAGAAGTGTCTTATGCTGGGCAGCGGTAGCTTTGACCATTCCTCCTTCTTGAGTGTTGTGCGCAGCGGAAATTTCGGCAGAGTTTCTGCTGCACAATAAGAGAGAAAGATCGATAAGAATTCTTGTTTCTCAAAGGGAACAAGAATTTGAAGCCTAATATCCCATCAAAGTGGGATATTTGCTCTTCCTCTCGTCAGCTCTAGGACTACGTGTCGAGGGATCCTAAAAACTATTACAATGGCCACAAACTCAAACAAACCAATTTTTACGTGGTTCGGCACTGCCTACGTCCACGGGGCAAGGAGAGGGAGATCTACTATTAAAGAGAAAAAGAATACAATGGGTTTACAACTCTCACAATCTAAACCCTCAAATAGGCTCCTTGCTTTTCTTCACAAGAAAAGGTCAGCCACCAAAACTTTTATCTCTCTGCACGAAGCTCTGCACCTTTGCACGCCGCCTCTGCCTTTTTCCACCACCAAATTCTGCGCAGCAGTACCCAAGCACGTCCCCTGCCTTTACACAGCAGTCTGCACCCTTTTTGCACTTCGTAGCCGCCAGCTAAAAAAAACTCCTTCGCTCACCTTTCACGGAACCCTAGACAATGATTTTATAGGCTAGCTGTAGACAAAAAACGGGTGGGCTTTTTCTCTCTCACACGTTATCTTCACGCGTTTTATTTTGCCAGCAAATCTAATCATGTGGTCCCCCCCACGTTCTCACAATTCTCCACCTCGGTGAAGTTTTCTCAAAACTGAGCCGACACCAACCAAACCAAATGTCTCACTTGTTGTGTCCAGTACACCGTGAAACAATTCACGACAACAGACTCAATCCATAACAAGTCGAGAACCCAAATGAGAATGCAAACACTCTCCAAATGTCGATGTCTACTCACCAAATCGATCTCACCCCCATCAAAATCCAAACCGGCTGCATAATAAAGACTGCCTACGTATCCTCTTGCCCAAGGAATCAAGCCTTACGTAGTTTACCCAAATGGCTGCTAACGACCTCAAACCAATAGAAGAGTTCGCAACCCTTCTCCAACATCACGATCAAGTCTGCGACTAATAGCACCTCCAATGGCCTCAAACATCTCCACCTGAGATGAACCAATGACCATATCCAAGCTACATCTATCAGCTACACTCGAATCAAAACCCAACTCATCATCTGCATCCGAATCCAAATGACTTCCACGCTGTGTCACCTCAGCTGGAATCCCAACCAATGTAGAATGATCTGGAGTAATCTTTACCCAATGTGGAGTAGCATCACTCTCCACCCGCTGCGATACCTCTAAGGTCTGTCCAGAACTCTCCACCTGCTGAGAGTCAATTGGCTTCCTCATCGAAGCCTCAATCAAAGTGACACTACCAGACCTATCTTCTAATGGAGTTTTACCTCCAATCACAGCAGTTGACAACTCTTTAATAGGATAACCCAAATATGTCGAAGCCTCTGTCCAGAAACTCTTCTGCAAACCATTGCTCGACCACCAACACCGTTCCTCCTCCAGTAAGGCACGGTTCTCCAAATTTGTCACCATATCTAGTTGCCCAAGATTTCCTTTCCAATGAAGTGTCTCGAAATGCCGTGAGCTCGGCTCCAATACAGAAACAGGTCCATCTTGTACCTCCCACTAGAATGGAGTACCTTCACCTTTCTGTCTATTACACACTTCTTCGATCTGTTGGAAACTACTAGGACTTTCTCCAAAGGGGATTTGGTTGCAACCCAAACACGTCTAGAACAGTCACCAACAAAGGAAACCAAACGCCTATTACCTCCCAATGATGCCCCCTTGGAAGGCCCCCAAACATCCACGTGAACTCCTCTAGAACGACCCTTAGCACGGTGAATAGAGGTGCCACACTTCACCTCGGTCTTCTTGCTCACATCAACATGTTCACTGGACATCAAACTGCAGGTCTTCGCACCCTCTTTCAATCTATGCGAGTAATCAATACTGGAATGGCCAAGCCCAAAATGCCGCAGTCTAGTCGAATCAACAGAAGTTGTCAGCTCTCCACCTGCCACTATACCTCCAGTCAAGTAATACAGGTTATTCCTCCTGACGCCCTTCATTACAATCTGAGAGTCTTCCACGATCTCGAGAACCATGTCCTCAACACGAACCTTTAGACCCTCTCCAACCAAAGCTCCAATTGAGATCAAGTTCTTCCTCAAAGAAGGAACATATCTCACATCATTTAACTCCCTAACAGTCCCGTCAAACATTTTGATGCGAATTCTTCCTATCCCAAGGATCTGGCATGCACGGTTATCAGCCATGTACACCACACTACTATCCACCAGCTTCTCAAAACTGGAGAACCATTCCCTTCTAGGGCACACATGATAGGTCGCACCACTATCCAACATCCATTCAGATTCCTCCGAATAGCTATCTGTAGGACTGATAGAAAGCGAATAAATAGAAGAGTCAGAATTATTACCATCCGATACGATGTTTGCTTCTGATGATGGCTGCTTCCCTTTTCCCTTCTGCTTATTCTTCATCCATTCGTCGAGCTTTGGACTGTCTTTCTTCCAATGACCAGTCTCCTTGCACCAAGCACACTGATCTTTTCCTACTCTAGACTGTGACTTCCAATTCTTCCGGTTCGGATTCTTCCCTCTTGCGACCAACGCCTCTGCTACCGACTCAGTCGAATTCTCCTTATCCTTCTTCCGAAGCTGATAATTCACCAATGCAGCAGTGACCTCACTATACGAAAGGGATGCCTTCCCATTAATAAGAGTAAGGACGAAGGTCTCATATTCCTCGTCGGGCAAGGAACTCAATAGCAACAACGCATTGTCCTCATCTTCAATTATAACATCCACGTTCGCCAAATCCGTAAGAAGCTTCGCGTAGTGGTTCATGTGATCTCTAATGGAGGTTCCCTTCTTCAACTGGAAACGATAAAGTCTCCTCTTCAAATGCAAGCGATTTTCCACACTCTTGGTCAAATACTTGTTTTCGAGAATCTCCCAAATCTTCTTTGCAGAAGTCTCATTCATCACATCATATTTTAGATCTTGAGTCAAACAAGACCTAATCACACCACACGCCGTTCGATTTATCTTTTTCCAAACCTTCTCTTCAATCTCATCTGGCTTGCCATCTAACTCCAAAGTATCCTCCAAATTCTGCGCGTTCAGCGCATCGAAAACCTCGCATCTCCATAATCCAAAATTGTTTGTGCCATTAAATTTCTCCACATCTATCTTCATGGAGTGGATATTCAAACTCTGAACGGTCTTCACGCCAGAAGCACCACCCTCGACTCCCGAAGCACCTTCTTTCCCCGACATCTTACGCACCAACGAACAAAGAATAGACCCAAAACTGAAAGATAGAGTCTTTACCAAAAGATCCCACCTTTATCACCAACGAAGTCCTAAACGGGCCTCCAAATTGATCTACTCCTCCAACCAAACCCTAGATCTGGAATCTGGGCTCTGATACCACTTGTTATGCGCAGCGAAAATTTCGGCAGAGTTTCTGGTGCACAATAAGAGAGAAAGATCGATAAGAATTCTTGTTTCTCAAAGGGAACAAGAATCTGAAAGCCTAATATCCCATCAAAGTGGGATATTAGCTCTTCCTCTCGTCAGCTCTAGGACTGCGCGTCGAGGGATCCTAAAAACTATTACAATGGCCACAAACTCAAACAACCAATTTTACGTGGTTCGGCAAACTGCCTACGTCCACGGGGCAAGGAGGGGAAGATCTACTATTAGAGGCTAGCTGTAGACAAAAAACGGGTGGGCTTTTTCTCTCTCACACGTTATCTTCACGCGTTTTATTTTGTCAGCAAATCTAATCATGTGGTCCCCCCCCACGTTCTCACATTGAGATCGAACCGGGCTATTGCCTCGTTGCTGTCGACATCGTACAGATCACCGACAGCCCGCGGCATTGTTAAACTACCTGGCAGGAAATGGACGGCTTCGTTGACGACGGCCGAGTACGCGGTATGAATCCAAAAGGGGGGGGCCTCCTTCTCCCTCCATCTCCCTGACCCAAGTGTGAAGACCTCGCTTCTACATACTGGCTACAGGCGCTTGAGACTGATGCAGAGCACCTTGTATTCCCCTGTAGAAGGAAGGTAAGCGAATGCCACCACGTGGTTGTCAATCACCGTACTGCAAGACACCGAAGATTTCCTGGGCAAAGCAATCTGCTCCCTGGTCGTAGGGTTCCGAATGTAGATGTCATCGGGATCATACAAGCAGACGAGGTCAAGGCTGCCGCAGGAGAAGACGAGCCTCCTAGGGAACCACGACGCTATCGGTAAGTAGTAGTCTGTGGTTACACGGTCTAGTAGGGTTTTCCCTCCTCCTCCTCGCTTCTTGTAGTAGTCTAGCACGTGGAAGTGGTCTCGGCGGTGTTCCCCATCGTCTCCTTCGAAGGTCGCCACGAGGAGGAGAGGGTTCCGTTCGGATCGGCGGCGGTGGGACGACCTGAAGGAGGGGCTGGAGATGAGGGAGAGCCACGATTTGGACACCAGCTTGAGGCGCGAGATGGTCTTCACGGGGAGGAGGAGGAGGATGTCGGAGACTACGTCGAGAGGGAGGAGGGACGACGGGTTCGACGAGTATAATTCGTTGTTGGTTTCAGAGGAGGCCATGCTAGTTAGATAGATATCAGCCAGTATATATATATATTATAAATAGAGAGGAGGGACGACCAGATGAGCCCTAGGAGGAGGAGGAGGACTCCCAGTGCAAACAAAATTCTCTCCAAATCCGGCCTCCCTCTTTTGAAATAAAAAAAACCCAGTTGTAGCGCTAGTCAGAATAGGAGAATAAACAATATTGAACATCTATCTATAATAACTCTCGAAAAGCAAATCTTATAGAAATTAGGATTCCTTTTCTCGGGAGGAGACGAGCCTGTGGTGGGTGTAAGTTGCTGTTAGGGAGAAGTACGCGATTTCCTTTTCTCGGATTTTTTTTCTTTCCCTCCTCCTTTCTTGTTTAGTACGCGTATGTGGTTTCGGTAGTGTTGTTCGTGGAGACTGATTGTTGTTACGAAGAGGTGACCATGATTTCGACACCAGTTTGGGGTTGAATATTAATTGATTGGTTTTTGGGGTGTTGTAACTAAGAGCCATGGTGTCAGAATTGAAATTATGGGGACTCGCTTAGATAAATTGAGAACAATCCATAGATCATAAAAAAGAAACAAACTTGTCTCGTACAATTCTACAATTCCTACCAGATTTATATAAATCGAGAAGCACGATTAGCTATATAGAAATTTGATTTGGTAAGACATGATAGGGTTTTATCCTAAAACAAGAGAAGGTTCTCAATGCTGTGCGGGCTTTAATTAGATTGATAGGGTCTTATCAATTTTAACAGTTTCCTCACGATTAAAATCTTTCAGTATCTCTCATACCTATTTTAAAAAGACTAGTTTTTATGCACGTGTAATGCACGTGGTTAAATATTTAAAAAATATTGTTTTATATTTATTTCATTACTTTAAATAAGTAAGATTTATCTTGAGTTTAAATATGTATTATTGAATTATAAGATTTATTAGTATGAATTTAAGCTAAATTTGGATGAATATATGTATCTGGCATATAGTAATTGTTAGTATGAATTTTAGTTATAGTAATGTAGAAAATATTTCAAAATTTTAAGTTATTTCAAATATTTTTTGACTTAAAGAGCTAAGATCATTGTTTGATTTACTGCAAACTTGTAAATTATTTTTGTTCTAAAAATTTTTAATTGATCACTACCACCAACACTTAACAAGAACTTTTTTTTTTGTCAATGAATTAAGATTTTATTCATCTCCCAGATTGAAAGTGTATACATATCAATGCTTCACCAGCACATCACTGGTAAGAACCAAAAACAAATGAAAATTTGTTTTTACACTTTTTCTATTTTTTCCTTTATATGATCAGGTATATCTTCATTAAGCACCTTAGATAAAATTGAAGTTTTTATCTCCCTCACTAACTGGTCTGATGTATGCATTCTCCCTTTTAAGCACCTTAGATAAAATTGAAGTTTTTATCTCCCTCACTAACTGGTCTGATGTATGCATTCTCCCTTGGAAAATTCTTAAGTTTCTTTCCTTCCAAATCCAATAGACAGTAGCCGATAATGTCATTCTCTTTATCTTCTTCATATATCCCTTTCCTTTCAGATTTGTACTGTACCAGCTTATGATTTGATCCCAATTACATGATCTCCAAGAGTAATCAGACCATTCCATGATTTCATTCCAAATGTGAGCTGAAAACTGGCATTCAAAAAACATGTGCTTACTTGTTTCTTGTTGAGCTGAGCACAGAATACATTGATTTTCATTCAGAATCCCCATCTTGCATAATCTGTCTTTTGTCAGCAGCCTGGAGAGGGTGTTTAGCCATAATATAACAGAGTGTTTAGGATAGTGCAAGCCTCCCCAAATGGTATCCGACCATGCAGCATAAGTTGCTGGAAGGGTCAGTGCATTATATATAGCTGAAATCCGTAATTTTCCATTTATATGACAGTTTTCTATAGCACTCTGTAGATTATTCCTGCCACCAAATCTGTTGAGTACCATATCTCTAACTTTGAGCAATTGCCTCCACATCCAAGAATCTGTCACTTTTGATTGAACCTGCCATATATCCATTTGGTGTATGTAATTTTAATGCACCCATTTAATCCACAATATATCCTTTTTGATGTGAATCATCCATAACAATTTGATTGCAGCTGCATGGTTCCAATCTTTTGCAGTATATAATCCCAGACCACCCATTTTCTTTTCTTTACAAATATCATACCAAGAGACTAAATGTACCTTGCAGTTCCACAAGAAGTTTGAGCACAGTCTATCAATTCTTTGTAGAACCTTGATGGGTAACACATAGTTACTTGTCCAATAGTTTTGTATCCCAATAATGACAGACTTTATTAGCTGAATTCTTCCAGCATAAGAAAGATTTCTTCTGCTCTGCCACCCTTGAAACTGCTCTGAGATCTTGTTTAACAGTGGTGTGCAATCCAAATGAGTGAGCTTTTTAGCAATCAATGGCAACCCAAGGTATCTTACTGGCATAGAGCCTTCTGTAAAATTCAGATGAGAGCAGATCTGATCTTTGATAGTATCTTTAATTCCACTCAAGTACACTGCACATTTATTTGGATTAGCCTCCAATCCAGACACCCTGCTGAAATCTTCAAGGCAGTCATGCATTTTGCAAATGGAATTCATATCAGCTCTGCAAAACAGCAATAAATCATCTGCAAAGATCAAGTGTGTTATCCCCATTCCAGCACATTTTGGATGATATTTGAATAAGGTATCAGTTTTGAGCTTCTTCAATCTCCTGGACAGATATTCCATTCCAATGACAAACAGATATGGTGATAAAGGATCACCTTGTCTCAAACCCCTTGCTCCTTCAAAATATCCATACAGTGTCCCATTGAGAGATAGAGAGAATTTTGTTGTAGTTACACAGGTCATAATCCATCTAACCATGTTGTTAGGAAAACCCAGTCCTGTTAGCATGGACTTGATAAAACTCCAACTTATTGTATCAAAAGCTTTTCTTAAATCTATGTTGAGAGTGGCTCTTGGAGATATGTGCTTTCTACCATAATGTTTGACAAGCTCATGTGCAAGAAGGATATTGTTTGAGACAATCCTACCCTTGATAAAGGCACTTTGTGCATCATCAACTATATGCCCTATAACTTCCTGAATTCTAGCTGTAATTATTTTTGAGATCACTTTATAAATACAATTACAGCAAGAGATTGGTCTAAACTCAGAGGGTGAACTGGGATTTAGAACTTTAGGGACTAAAGTGATAGTTGTTGCATTGAGAGAGCCAAGAAGTTTACCCGACTTAAAGAATTCCTGTACAGCTTTAATCACATCCTCATCTATGATGCTCCATGCACTTTTGAAAAAAGATGCACTGTAGCCATCAGGTCCAGGGGCCTTCTCATCAGAAATTGCAAAGACAGCCTTTTTAATCTCTTCTTTAGTGATAGGAGATCCAAGAGCATTCCTATGTGAATCTGTGAGAATAGGACCATTAGATATAACTGCAGGATCAGGCAAAATTGTGTTCACTTTGCTGCCCAACATTTTCTTATAATATTCCACGAGCTCATCAGAAATATCTGGCATATCAGTAAGCCTTCTCTCATCCTCTGAGTAAAGAGTTAACACTCTATTATGATGTCTTTTGGTTTTCATCACTGAATGAAAGTATTGGTAAAGAGTTAACACTCTATTATGATGTCTTTTGGTTTTCATCACTGAATGAAAGTATTGTGAACACTTATCACCATGCACAGCCCAACTGATATTAGCTTTTTGTCTGTGATATGATTCTTCACAATAAAGCAGTCTATTGTATTCTTTGATACAATCCTTTTCTTGAGATATCAGAGCCTGATTAAAGAGATCAACATTCAGCTGCTTTTGAACTCCAACCAGCTTATCTTTAGCTCTTAAAACTTGCTCACCAATATTCATAAAATGTTTTTTGTTCAATTCCTTGAGAGCGGGTTTCAGCATTTTGAGTTTGGAGTATATCTTATACATGTTATACCCCTGCACTTCTTGCCTCCACACAGAATTCACAACTGCTAGGTAATCTGGGTGCTTTGTCCACATTTTATAAAATCTAAAAGGCTTTTTTCCTTGAAAATCCTCCTCACCAACAGATATAAGGGCTGGAGAGTGATCAGAACAGACTGGAGTTAGGAACTCCACTTGACTTGATGTGTATTGGTGTAGCCATTTTTCATTAATCAGAATCCTGTCTATTCTGCTCCAGACTCTAGAATCAGCATCCTGTTTATTGTTCCAAGTAAAAAAACATCCAATAGATTTGATATGAAGCAATTGACTAGATGAAATAAAATTTTGAAGATATTCTGTGTCAGCATCAGTTGTAGCTGCTCCACCCAGTTTTTCTTCAGCACTCATGATTGCATTGAAGTCACCTCCAACAATCCAGGGACAATCAACATTATTTTTGAAATTAAGCAGGTCCTGCCATAAATTTTTCCTATCCTCTTTTTGATTTGAAGCATATATCACAGACATTAGGCATGAAAACTTGTCATTCTTCAATTGAACTGAGCAAGTTAAATGCTGATTACTTGACTTCACCTTTTGAATTGTTAGCATATCCTTATTCCAAAGAATCCAGATCCTGCCATTCCCAGCTTCATGCACATTTGAAATCCAACTCCAGTCTTTAGTTATTTTCCTTGCTATCTGCTTCATTTTATCTTCAGAGAGTTTTGTTTCCAAGAGAGCTATAAGAGGTAGATTGTACTGATATATGAATTGTTTGACAATCAGGTGCTTAGAGGATTTATTAAATCCTCTAATATTCCATATAGCTATATGCATTTCATTGGTTTCCACCCCTGTCAATATAACAAGGGTCAAATTCATACATCTGAGAATCTAATGCAGAAAAATGTGAATTCTGGATTGGGTCCACAGAATTATTGATTTTTGCCTTTCTTGCAATATTTGCTCTACTGACACTTGTGAACCCAGATGCATTCACCATTGGAGAAGTGATTTGGTATACATTTGCAAAACCAGTGTTCTCATGCTTTATGCTTTGTATGTCAGGAGAGCCATTATCAACAGCTCTGCCCTTACCTTTTGCTTTGTGCATGTTTTCTTCAGCATCTTGTGCAGGAGTTACATTACTTTTTCCACAGCTATTTGGATCCAATTTCTCCTGATTCACATGTGTAGGAGTTACAAGTAGACTACCTTCCCCTCTACTGGTATCCAGTCTTTCAGTATTCAATACACTCCCTTTTTCAGATCTTAAATCAGTAGTTTGCATCTTATCTGCCAGAATATTGTGTATAACTGACTGCACATTTTGTGATGCCTGTGCATTATGTAATGCCTGTGCATTATGTAATGCCTGTGCATTTTGTGATGCCTGTGCATTATGCATTTCTTTTCCCTTCTGCCTTACAACTGGTACCCATACTTTTTTCATTTTCTGTCTCCTACAGAAGTCAGTATCATGTCCAACCATGTTACAAAAAGTGCACCATTTTGGCTTTAGTTCATATATAACTTTCTGATTGTATTTTTCACCATCAGGGCCTTGAATTTCAATAGAATCAGGTAGTTGTTCCTTCAGTGGTAGCTTTATCTCAAGAAGAACTCTTGCAAAACTTAGCCTTTGTCTTGTTGCTGTGAGCATATCTGTTGTTATAGGGCATCCAATAATGCTAGAGACCTTACTGATACCTATTGGACTCCATAAATTGAGTCTCAGATTAGGAAATTGCACCCACATAGGATATGTACAGTCTTGTATCTTCTCCATTTCAGTATCAATTGACCATGGTTTAAGCACCAATGGTCTGGAACCAAAAAACCAAGGCCCTGCTTCTAAAAATTTTCTCATCTGTTGCTCCGACTGGAAGTCAAACAAGAACACACCTGACTTAATTAGAGTGATTTTTGGAATTGAAATCTTCCCCCGAATTTTTATATAAGCTTCCATTGATTTGAATTTAGCATTTAGCCCTATGACATGGCCTATCAAGGCATTCTTCCAGTAATCTTCACCTACTTTCCATTCTTCTTCAGAGAAAACAGCTGCATTTTTTTGAGATGGTGGAACAAAATTAAGAGATAAACCTTTCCCTGGCCTTCTGTTATCTGAGAATAAGCTAGCAAAAGATTTCTTAACTTCAGGCATGTTATTATTTTTTTCCCTAAATCTTTCTCTCCTTTTTCTGGTTCATCTTCATCCAGATTAATCTGCTCTAAATTTATACTCTCTTTGTTAGACTGAGCTACAAATGGTGTGAAAACCTCAATATTGCTTTCAGACTCAACACCAGTTCCATCAATTTCCGATTCGTACTCATCTTCAACATCATCAGCCCAAGAGATTGAGTTAGGACTCTTACTTAACTTTCGATCAGGGATTTGACCAGATCTGTTCAGTTGAAGCGGAACTGAGAGAGAGCTCGTTTTTGCCAGAATTTCTTCCATGAGAACCTTCTTCTTTGCCCCTATCGGACCAGTACTGCCAGAATTTCTTCCATGAGAACCTTCTTCTTTGCCCCTATCGGACCAGTACTCCCCATCAGCTCCAGCTTCATTTCCGATTCGTACTCATCTTCAACATCATCAGCCCAAGAGATTGAGTTAGGACTCTTACTTAACTTTCGATTAGGGATTTGACCAGATCTGTTCAGTTGAAGCGGAACTGAGAGAGAGCTCGTTTTTGCCAGAATTTCTTCCATGAGAACCTTCTTCTTTGCCCCTATCGGACCAGTACTCCCCATCAGCTCCAGCGGTGAAGCTCCCCTTGCTTCCACTGTTCTATTGCTTTCCATGTTATCTTCAATCTCCTCTGCTTCCTGAGATCCTTCAGCTATACGAGCAGGAGAAGAGGAAGGATAGACAAAAATGGAGTCTCTCAAAGTAGGGCTAACGATTCCTTTGCTGCCATTCTTCTTCTTCTTCCTCATGCTAGATCCAGGCGGGAGGCGCACGATAGCGGGAGATCGCCCGCTAAAATGCACCTAACAGACCGCCAGCTTCTGAATCAACAACAATATAATTTGAATTAACAATAACTTAATTAAAGTATGAAAGTAAATCTTGTTCAAATTTGGTCCCTTATTCAACATGGCAACAATCTTAACAAGTAATAATTAGTAAGCCAAGGTTTTTTTGAAAACAATGAATATTGAGGTTTGTGACAACCCCAAGAAAATTTATCACAATAGTAATTCTTTGCCAATTGGTTAAAGAGGTCACCTTTATATCATAAATGATTGATCACATGTTGTGCTATCCATAGACAATAATAAAATATAATAAAATGGTTATATATCAAAGTGTAATTTTATGTGATGTAAGCAATCACATAAGCATACAAAACTACTATAAAGTTAAATACATGCTGCGGTAGCTATCAAAAAATAAGATGTTATATAAAATGATTAAAAAATATTGTTCTTGAAAATTTCTAATTGAACCAAGATCAATCTTTCTCCACCTTTATCTTTTTTTTAGGCAACTCTAGAGTAGCATCTTCATCATCTATGTCGATTGTAATATTAGACTGGAGTTGAATTTCTTGTGCTATTATATTGCCTTCGCCTCGTTCATCTTTTGTCTTTTCATCTAACTTCACCAGGAATTTGAATGTTTTTCCGATGTTCAAAACAAATTTTTGGAAATATGGACTCTGGTTATTTTTCTGTTGCAATGAAAACAAATGTTATATCAATACTTATGAATTTGTTTATTTTCTAATTTACTACTTGAATAGAGTTAGGAATTACCTCTTTCTTTTTTGTAATGAATGTTTCTGCTTTGCATCCAATAAGAGTTTCTGCTGCGTCAAAGAGTGTTACTCTTGCATTATCCGTGCTATTTTCCACGAGAATCTTAACTAAGTACCTATATTTTTCATTGTTAATTTCTAAAGACAATTAGTATTGTATTTTAATATGTTCATGCCATTAAAAAAGATATATTATTTAATCTTGGTACTGGGTCATCAATGATTCTGCGGCATTTGTCATTCAGACACTCTTTACTAACATCTTTATCAACCTTCTTGTCACAGCCTTTGCAAGCATAGAACCATGGCTCGAGCCTTTTTAAAATAGTAGTTATCTTTGCCTTAAATGTGCAATATCGTGCCTGTATATTAACAAAGTTTAGTTAGATTTAAATTTGTATATAAGAATATGTATATAATATTGTACCTGTATCGAATTCTGTGACTTATGCATAATATCACTAATATGAATTTCATTGGCATTTTTAAAAAGCGTCAATGGAGATCCTTTTGCTTTTGCAGCTTCTTCTAATTGAAACCTGCATATTATATTAAAAAAATAATAATATTCCATTATTGGGTTATATTAAAGTATACTTGTTCTGCTTACCATTCCCTTAATTCGATAGCTAGTTCTATTTTTAGGTTGATGCAGAATGTTGAAATAATTTGCGACGATATGCTTGTATCCCCAGCAAAAATGAGAAAATTATAGGAGTAATTGTATGTTTAGCTATATTTAATAAGAATTTCAGCAATAATTTATGTACCTTGATGTATAGAAATTTTAAAATCTGATAATGCTATTACAGGCTTATATTTGATTTCTGCTTCAAGAATTGATCCTTCATTTGTAGCTAAATCTCCAAATAAAGTTGCACGCATTGGCATTCCACTGCATATGAAAAAGAAAGAACATTAATATTTTTTCTCTTATGATATTGGAAATAAGTAACATGAATATACCTCATATCCATAAGCGTGATTTCCCTCCTAGTGTCTGGTTTGTTGTGTCTTGTAATATAGTTGATCGCCGGCTTAACATTAGTTGTTATTGCAAGAATATCTGCAAGTGATTTAATAAAAAGATTATGATTCTGTAGATTAATGTCTCATTTTGTATTGAAGATTTAAGTAAGAAGTTTGTAAGTACTTACTAATTTTTGTTGCATCTTTCATTTGGGTTTTATAAAATGCATCTTAACTTTTTACCTTATTTATTTATTTTATTGTTAAATGATAATCTATTTCGGAATCAAACACAAGCTACTGAGAGTCATATTAGAACATTCTAATCGTTAGAATGTTAACGACATTGAATTAATTTTTATGCTATTTTGATATTAAACAATTTAAATGTGTTATCGAGAGAAAATTTTAGAACATATTAAGATAATATAAAAATTATAATACAGTTTTTTTTTGGTCAATGAAGAAATATATTCATTTACCAAATGGAAAGTATTTGTACATCAGATATTCAGTATATGAACTGAAAAATCAATTACGAAAACAACTAGGAAGAATAAAACAAAAAACTGCTAAAGAATTTACAGTTGATTAAAGTGATATAAGCCATTCCTTTTGCTCCACTGGATATGAACCATTAAGTATGATGGTCATGATATCAATCTTGATCTCCTTTATGATCTGCTCTATACTCTTGGATTTCGTATCAAACAGTCTGCTGTTGCGTCCCCCCCCATATCCTGTAGATAGTAGAAGATAGAGACATTCTTTTCACCTTTTGTTTAAAACCCCTACCTCTCAGCCTGCAATTAAACCAATCCAGCAAGCGGTTCCATTCACAAGTCTTCCAATCGAATTGAAGCCAATTCATAATCTCATTCCAGACTGCACTAGTGAAGCTGCATTCAAAAAAGAGGTGGTTTCGGGATTCAACAACATTTTCATTGCACAAACAACAGAGGCCAATGGTGATGATTCCTCTTTTGAGCAATCGATCTCTTGTAAGAAGCCTGTTCTGCACTGCAAGCCACATAATGAAACAGTGCTTAGGGTAGCTCATATTATCCCACACTGTTGTGAACCATGGGACCTTTGTAGCAGCAGGGGAAATTTTTGAATAAAGCTCAGATAGACACACTTTTGAGTTCCTATGACAGGAACTGATAATTTGCTTCAAAGCATCTACACTTCCACACTTCACAATGGCTTTATCTCTGGCTTTGAGCAGCTGTTTCCGTAGCCATGAATCCCCTTTTTTCACTGCAACTTGCCAAATTATAATACAGTTATTAAGTGTTACGGTACCTTATTTCAGTCACCTCAAACAGATTATTATATCCTAACAGTCAATTCACCGTCTCTTTCAGCTCTGCTACTACAGTGCATCTCCTTGACTCTCTCTCTCTCTCTCTCTCTCTCTAGTTTCTCTTTCATTCCACTGGACCTTAGAAGTTTCCCCAACACCAAATTTCCCTTCCTTTCTCAGTAATAACAACAAAGCCAACGAAAAGAGCCCCATCTCTTGCTTCATTTCCATTCTCTGCTCCCCTTCGCTCCTTTCAATACATTTTTTTTTATTAAGTTTTATGTTTGTTAATGATACTTAATGCTGTTGTAATGAAATTTGAGAGATATTGTTTGTTTAGTTCATGTGGGTATCTAGTGATTGTGCAGAGTACTTGCATGCTGCCATGCTCCCAAAATTTGTAAATTTTTTATTTTTTGGAGTTATGTTTTTTTTATAGGGTGATTTCTAGTTGGATTTGAAAAGGTATTAATTTGTCAGCACAGTTATAGCTAGTTTTCAGATTGGTTATCCCACTTAATGTTATATAATATTTTATTGGTACAGCCTAGCTAGCTTCAGACTCATCAATAAAAATTTGTTGGTATTTTGAAATTTGACTTTTCATGAAAGGATCGTGTCTTCTTTAGTTTACATGATACTCTTTCATCTCTCTAATTAAAAGCATGCAAAGAAAAAAATTTAAAAAAAAATAGAAGAGGAAAATATAATCAAATAAATCTAAAGTAAAATAATATCAAACATGAAGATTTACCTTGATAGATGGGAGAACCTGCAACACTCAAATCCTTAACCCTCTAAATTCTGGATGAAAATTGAAGAAATAAAAAAAATCAATTGCCATAAAAAATAATTACAGTGTAAAACAAATATCACCATTTAATCAAATACAAAATCTTTTTAAAGAATAATCATGAAAATAGAAAAGAAACATACATGTCGAAGGAGATGAATTTACTATGAAAAGAATGTACTTTCTTGGTTTATATATAGGAATGAGGTATTACATGTGATAAGATAATAGTCATAATTAGAGTTTTATTAGGGTTTGAATTGTGTTATGGGTGGGTTGAATTTTTTTAGGAATTTATTTCTTTCGGAAAATTTTGTTTTAATTATTTTTTAATTTAATTCGGTTGAATTTGTGTTACGTGAACCGGATTTTTTTTTTTAATTTCTGATCGGGTTCCCCAACATGTCTATGGATAAGAAGTTTGTTGGAGTTATTTTTTAACTCTTCACAATTTGCAGACTGAATATGGATTTGTTTTCACAGATGTAGAGCTCTTGCACTTGAGAAAGAGATTTATCTTTGATAGTTAGAGTTGCTTGTCTGACATGAATGTAGTATTTCAAGCCAATGGAAGTTGGAATCTGATTTGTCACTTTTCTTATTAAAACCAAAACCATTAGCAAACCTTTTTTTTAAACATGATGTATCTAATCGGATAAATAACTCTAATCGGTTATTTTGTTAATTCCAAAACCTTTTTTTTAAACATGATGTATCTAATCGGATAAATAACTCTAATCGGTTATTTTGTTAATTCCAAAATAAGAGCATCTTTTCCCATCATTAAAATTAAATTTGAAAATTAGAATTTGATTATAGATAAGGTAGTTCAAACTATAAATGAGTATATTTGTCTAAAAAAGATTTTCCGAACTCGTGCTTTTAAAGGGAGTATATATGATATATAATTTATGAGTAAAGACTCAAAAATAGCCAAACGGATACGGGTATCCATAATTTTAGGAAAGAATACCGTACCCAAAATATATAATATTGTAGATTCAACGACTATAACAAGCGGGAAAAAAGATACCATGAGCTTCATGCATGTGCACATGCATATGTTTATTATGCATGCCTTATTTTAAACATTTCTTTATGCCCTAAATTTCCCAAATTATTTATTACATATCATTCACAATGTCAAACTCACCAGCATGAATATGACATTTAGAAACCGCTAGAACGCAGTAATGCAGAACTGACAAATTTTCAAAATAGACCCCAGCTATTAGAAATTTATTTTTAAAGGGAAAAAGATTTCTAAATGTGTTTGGACTCTAATTAAATTGATATTCTTAATTATCAATTAACAAGTCTCCTTTCAGTATTAACCACCTTATAATTAAAATGTGTTTATTATCATCACGTACAAATTAAAAGGAAATATATCCAAACTATGATTCAGAACTGGATGCCCCATAATTTTAGGAAAGAAACGCAACATTTATTTTCTATTCAATCAAACTACAACAAGGAAAAAAAGAAATAAGGAGCTAAATAGAGAAGCAAGGCTATTCCTCCCATGATTAGTTACATAGTAATTTAATTAATTTGATAAAATATGTTAAGATTATATCCTAAAAAAGGAAAAGGGTTCTGAATGGACATTGGTTTCTTATTAAATTGAATTATTTTTATTGCAGTAATCCCCTTGAAGATTTTTCATTTTAACCTTCCAAAGTTAATACCATCAAGTCTAATGTTTCACGTGACGAACATGTAACCAGTAAAAGAGAAATAAATATACCCTTCAACCATAAAAAAAATAGATGGAAATAGTAAAAGAAGAAATTTTCTAAACAAACACATTCATAATTTTTTCCCTAAAAATAGATCCCTTGAGTTTTTTTTTACAAAAATCGACCCATTTTGTCTTAACCCGGTTTCTAAATAGTCGGGGTTGCCAACCCCGACTATTTAGTGCATAGAATGTTAGCGTTTAGGGTTATAATTAGGGGTTTACAACCTCCTAAATAGTCAGGATTGACAACTCTCTTCTCCAATAAATTAGGCTAAAACAACTGTAATATCAATGGTAAACTTCAGCTATCTCTGGTATACAATATTCTAACTCAACCCTCTTCTCCAATAAATTAGGCTGAAACAACTTGGGGGAGACTGAATTATCCCTAGCATTCAATCATTCTTTGGCTAGCCTATCATACCAGGCTTCTCACTCAGGAAAGATTGTGTCATTTTGGAATTCTTAGCACAAATTGTTGTGTTCTGTGTTCTAGACAACCGGAAAATTGCAAGCATTTATTCTTTGAATGTCAGTACCCGACTGATGTATGAAACAATGTAATGGATTAATGGATGAGATTTACATGGAGAACCTGTGCTTGGGATCAACTCAGTAGATGGTACTCTAGCTGTTTGAAAGGAAAAGGGTTCAGGAAGAATTTGAAGAGAATGGCTCTATTAGTGGCTGTTTACTTAAATCTGGCAAGAGAGGAATGTCAGGATATTTCAGGGGAAAGCAAGGGATTCTGGTACTCTCTTCAGTGCTATCAAACTCTCCATCTTTTCTAAAATTTTGAATGAAGATTTTCCTGCACATATGAAAGAAATGATAGTGAAGTTGTAACTATGTAATTTCAGCTTCTTGTTTGCCAGGTTATATCAATCCTGGTTTTTGATGTACAACACTTTTACACACTTGGAAGATGAATAAAACTTTAATTCATTGACAAAAAAGAGTGAATCTTTTAGGAATGAGGGGTTTTTCAGTTTTTTGGGTCAAGCTAGCTAGCTAAGGCACGTCACACGTTAGACTTGAAGCTGTTATGCTGGGGGATTACGTAGAATAAAAGAAGTTCAAAGCGGGGCCTATGCAAAACCCCTTAAATTTAAGGGATTTTTTGTTCAATTGAAATATTAATGGCGCCTATCTGCAAAATCCCCAAAAGTAAGGGGCTTTTGTGGTTACCCTAAATTATATGCTTGTATATATGAATTATTTTTAAACCAGTTTTATACATGAGATGTTTCCGAGACAATGTTTGACATTGTTTGACCTCATCGATCAAACCTGCATATTTGTTACATTGTTTGACCTCATCGATCAAACCTGCATATTTGTTAATTAAGAAAGAAGAATCTGCGT